CCCCCAGGTCCCCGCCGCTGCCATCAATGATTGCTGGCTGGCTCCGCCCTGGTTCCCCGCCTCCGCCGCCATCAACAATTGCTGGCTGGCTCCTCCCCGGCCCAAACCTAAAGCCTCTGGCCAAGGCTTTAGGCCTGGACCGGGGACCCCCAGCTCCCGCCCCAGCCGATCGCTGGCTGGCTCCTCCCTGACCCAGGCCTAAAGCCTTAGGCCGAGGTTTTAGGCCTGGGCCAGGGCACCCCCAGCTCCCTGCCGCCGCCGACATCTATGATCGCTGGCTGGCTCTACCCCAGTTCCCCTGCCATTGCCGCCATCAACCATCGCTGGCTCAACGATTGCTGGCTGGCTCCTCCCTTACCCAGGCCTAAAGCCTCAGTCTGTGGCTTGGAGCCGACATAAGCAAATTAGCCGCCATCTTGGCTGGGGATTAATTTGCATATCTCGCTGATTAGCCAATGGGAAGGGTAGCGGTCGTACGCTAATTACCATGTTTCTCTTTTATTAGTGTAGAAGAGAGGAACATGCTAATTAGCTGTTAACGCCCTGAGGTGTAATGACCAAGCACGTCATGACAAGATCACGGATCAGCAAGAGGTTGGGCCAGCGATGTATAAGTGGGCTGCGGAGAACTACAGGACGGGGCAGGGCAGCAAGAAGCGGCAGGTGGAGAGCTACAGGAGAGGGCAGGGTAACAGGAGGGGGGACGGGAGGAAGCTATAGGAGGGTGGGGCAGCGGGTGGAGAGCTACAGGAGGGCTGCTGCGACCTACTGGCGCATGGATTCCTGCGCAGGGCTACAAGTATGTATATATATATGTACTAGTATGTTTTTATTTATATTTCAGGCTTAGATTTATAGCTGATATACCAGTACATGTTAGCAGAATGCATATGATAATGTTTCCAAAGCTACTGTTTTTATCCTTTTTTAACAAATTTTCAAAAAAAATTATTGTTGAAAGTATTACATATGTCCCCTTTTCCCCCCATTAACCCTTCTAGCCTGCCCCCACTCCCTACCCCAGACCTTCACCATACTATTATCTGGATCCATTGATTATGCATACATGCATACAAGTTCTTTGGTTGATCTCTTCCCACCCACCCATGCCTGCCTTCCCTCAGAGATCTGACTGTATGTTCCATGCTTCTATGTCTCTGGATCTATTTTGTGCATCAGTTTATTTTGTTCATTAGATTCCACATTTAAGTGAGATCATGTGATACTTGTCTTTCTCTGACTGGCTTTTGGCTTAGTGTAATACTCTGCAGGTCCCTTCATGCTGTCTCAAAGGGTAAAAGATCCTTCTTTTTTTCAGCTGCATAGTATTCCATGGTGTAACGTACCACAGCTTTTTTATCCACTCATCTACAGATGGGCTGTTTTCCGGTCTTAGCTATTATGAATTGCACTGCTATGATCATAGGGGTGCATATATTCTTTCTGATTGGTGTTTTGGGTTTCTTAGGATATATTCCTAGAAGTGGAATCATGGGGTCAAATGGCAGTTCCATATTTAATTTTTTGAGCGAACTCCAAACTGTTTTCCATAACGACTGCACCAAGCTACATTGCCACCAGCCCTGTATTAGGGTTCCCTGTTCTCCACATCCTCGCCAGCACTTGTCATTAGTTGATATGTTGATGGTAGCCATTCTGATAGGAAATGCATTGTTGCTGAGTCTGCATGTTCATGAGCATCTTAGGGACAGTGACAGAGGAGAGAGAAATGTCAGAGAAGGCCAAGTGGCTGAGGAAGAAGTACATGGGCGTGTGCAGGCGAGAGTCCAGCCTGATGAGCAGGATGATGAGCAGGTTGCCCAGCACCGTGGTCAGGTACATGCCCAGGAACAGGGTGAAGAACATGCCCTGCTGCCCTGGTGGGATGGGGAGCCCCAGGAGGAGGAACTGGGACACGCTGCTCTCGTTCTCAGGCCTCATGCTGCTCTTCTGTCTGCTGGGGATGAAGAAGGTGTGGGAATCTTAGGAACCCGGAATGGATGACCAGGACCATCACATCTCATACTGTCAATCTCTGGGAAAATAATGAATTTTAACTGCATACCTATTTATTTCTCACACCTGTGGATTCATGCATCTTCCCTCTATTCCCTTCTGGCCCCTGGAATCATCACACCCCTAAAGCAACCAGCAAGACCTCATTGCACAGAAACAAGAGGGCATTCACCCAGTTCTATGAGTTTACATCTTTAAAAAAATTTTTTTTAACTCATTTCAGCGAAGAAGGAAGGAGAGAGAGAGAGAGAGAGCGCAATATCGATGATGCCAAGAGAATCATTGAAGGGCTGCCTCCTGCATGGGGAATATAAGAATGACACATGGATTTAATTAGGAAATGTGGCGATTGAACCCACAACCCCGCTATGTGCCCTGACTGGGCATTGAACCGTGACTTCCTGGTTCATAGGTCAATGCTCAACCACTGAGCCACAGCAGCCGGGCTGAGTTTACATGTTAATGACCACAGAGAGATAATTTCTAGTTTGGCCAAGGCCAAACCATAATAATTCACTGTGGCAGAAACAGGAGATGAGCCCCTGCAAACCTGTGTCAGTTGTTTCTGCCTGAAAGTAATGTGAAACCCAGTCCCATTGACCCACACCTTTAAACTCAGGGGCACTCCAGCGATGGGTGCCATTTCAAGCCACTTGATGCCAACATAGCTCCAAAACCAAGATAGCCCACAAACCCTCTTTCATAATAGAGCTGAACATTTTGGTGAACGTTTGGGTGCTGGTCTAAGGATTTTACCTACATTTCCTAATTAAATCTACACATCAGTCTTACATTCCCAGATTCTCCACCATCTCCACAGTTACATTAAGAATTTGTGTTCTTTCAACATTTGTAGCTTTTAATATATGGAAACATAAATGACACAAATTCTGTAGGCACACACAGTACAGTAGGGGACAGAATGGCACACACATGTGTATATCTGTATCTATAATATATGTGACATGTAATATATATAACTTGATATATATATATATATATGTGTTATCATTTTCTATAAATTAAAAATGACCAAGTATTATCTACTTCATGGGATTCAGTCTAATGTGTGTGATCATAGCCCATGCTCTCAATCATTACACATGGAAACTTCTCCTTTGTTGTTTAGGGAAGTCAAGCACAATGTATTATTTTAGAGATGTGGGGACCAAAAGTTGTCCAAAATTTTCTTAGTCCCTTTACTAGCTAATTTAATTCCTTCATATTTATATACCTTCAACTGACAAAAATTTTCATATACATTAACTTCCATTTATACAATGACTATTTACTGAGAGAATTGATTATAAACGGGTGCTGGATTTTATCAAATGCTTTTTCTGCATCCATTGATATGACCGTGTGGTTTTTATTCTTCATTTTGTTTATGTGGTGTATCATGTTTATTGATTTGCAGGTATTGCACCAATCTTGCATCCCTGGAGTAAATTTCACTTGACCATGGTATATGATCTTTTTTTAAAAAAATCTTTATTGTTCAGATTACTACAGATGTTCCTCTTTGTTTCCCTCATAGCTCCCCTCCATCCGGTTCCCACCCCACTCCAGGCCTCCCTCCCCCACTACCTCCTTCATAGGTGTAAGCTCTTTGTCCAATCTCTTCCTGCACCCCGCACAACCCTTTCCCCCTGACAATTGTCTGTCTGCTCCCTTTCCATGCCCCTGATCCTATTACATTCACCAGTCTGTTCTGTTCATCAGGTTTTTTATTTATTTGATTTTTAGGTTCACTTGTTGATAGATATGTATTTGTTGTCACTTTGTTGTTCATAATTTTTTATCTTTACCTTTTTCTTCTTTGTCCTCTTCTTAGAGAATACCCTTCAGCATTTCATATAATACTGGTTGGGTGGTGATGAATTCCTTAGCTTTTTCTTGACTGTGAAGCTCTTTATCTGACCTTCAATTCTAAATGATAGCTTTGCTTGGTAGAGTAATCTTGGTTGTAGGTTCTTGATATTCATCACTTTGTATATTTCTTGCCATTTCCTTCTGGCCTGCATAGTTTCTGTTGAGAAATCAGCTGACAGTCGTATGGGTACTCCCTTGTAGGTAACTGTATTTCTCTTGCTGCTTTAAGATTCTCTCTTTGTTTTTTGTCCTTTGCATTGTAATTATAGTGTGTCTTGGTGTGGTCCTCTTTGGATTCCTCTTGTTTGGGGTTCTCTGCGCTTCCTGGACTTGTAAGTCTATTTCTTTCACCCGGTAGGGGAAGTTTTCTGTCATTATTTCTTCAAATAGGTTTTCCATATCTTGCTCTCTCTTTTCTTCTGGCACCCCGATAATTCAGATGTTGGTAGGCTTGAAGTTGCCCTGGAGGCTCCTTACACTATCTTCATATTTTTGGATTCTTTTTTCTTTTTGCTTTTCCGGTTGGGAGTTTTTTGCTTCTTCGTATTTCAAATCTTTGACTTGATTCTTGGGATCTTCTAGTCTGCTGTTGGATATCTGTATATTATTCTTGATTTCAGTCAGTGTATTCTTAATTTCTGATTGGTCCTTTTTCATATCCTTGAGGGTGTCACTAAATTTCTCAGAGGTTTCTATAAAATTCTTGAGTAACCTCATAATCATGGTTTTGAACTCTATATCCAGTGTTTTGCTTTCCTCCATTTCTTTCATTTGTGAATGTTTCTTTGTCTTCACATTTTGGCTGCTTCCCTGTGTTGATTGAGTGGCTTTGTGTGCTAGGTGTCCACCTTCAGGGGTAGGCTCAGCCTCCCCAGTCACCTGAGGTGGACACTCTTGGTGCACCTGTTTGTGGGCTGTTTGCATAGTCTTATTGTAGTTAACCCTTGATTGGTGTGGTATCACTGGGAGGAATGACCTCCAGGGAAATTGGTTGTGATGACCAGCTGTGTCTACACTGGAAGATCTGTGGCACAGGAGACATTCTTATGGGGTAGGACTTGCTTCAGTGGGGCGTCGGTGCTCACTGAGTCTGCCCCTTGAGTGTGTCTTTTATTGGTGTGAAGAGTTGTAATTTGGTATGGTCTCACTCTGATTACTGGATACACTAGCTTTTGGATCTCCAAGAAGGTGCAAGGTTAACCATTGTCTGAGGCCACCCAGCAGGAGCTACAGAGACATCTGCAGATTCCTCCTCTTTGTATGGGGTTTGGAAGTCCCCTAATGAGGCCCAGCTGTAAAGCAAGGCATGCTGCTCCTGCCCAGCCGTGGGCCTTCTTTTGGAAGCTCTGGGGCTCTGTGACCCAGCTTCAGTTTGACAGGTTTTAGGCAGAGAAAGGACAGGCCATTCATATGCAAAAGTGGATGTGCACAATTTAGGTGGGGTTGTAAATTGTGTGGGGCGGCGTCTCAGGGAATCACCTGGGTGGA